GCCGCGGAGGGAGGGGGGAGCCATTAGGGGAGCGCGCTGGGCCATGCACTAATGTCTCGTCTAGCTGCTGTGCTGGCTGCCTGCAGCGCTGCTCCTCTGCCTCCGGGAACTCTGGGATACAGCTGGAGAACATCTGGGACCCAAGTCTAGCTGGGGCCGCATGCGCACAGGAAAGCAATACGGCGTGGACTCTCCCCCAGTCCTGTAGGGTCCTAGGACCCTGGATCCGTGCCCGAGGCTAGCACATCTGCAGTGTGGACACAAGGAGGAGACCTGGGCTTACATTGCTGTGTAGACATACCCTCCACGAGATCAAGGCCTTAGTCGCTAGGGAACTATTTGCCAGACCATGGGAGTTCGCGGACTAAAGTCCAATACATCACTAGGGGAACAGAGCTCATATTAGAGGAGGTGACAGCTCCTGTTCTACCTCCTGGTCATGGGGACAGCTTCATCTCCATCCTCTTAGGAAATGCGTCGTGGACCCGAATCTGCTGCCAGTCATGCCAGCGTGCAGCCGGGCTCTCTCCATTGGCCGCTAAGTGCCTCTTCACTGCCTTCGCCGCTACAGCAGATTGACTTTGGCCCCGACCTGCTTGCAGCCAGTGACGGCGTACTCCCTGCCTCCCGCCGTGTAATAGCTGAGCTGACTGGACAGATTCTCAACATGGCCCTGATCGGGGTACAGCCCTTCCCGCAGCATCTCCTCCAAGAAGCACTTTGTGACGTGACTCCTCTCCAGCGGGCCGAAGGGGATGACGTCCGCAGACTTCCACAGAGGGTGGAAGCGGCTCAGCACAGGCTGGAGAATGTGCAGCAGCTCTTGGAGTTTGCTCTGCGGGTGCAGCAGGTCGGTGGAAACGTTCTGGAGGAGAAAGGTGGTGATTTCGCTGCCCCCTACGTTGCTTATTAGAATGTACACGGCATTGAGGAACTCGTTGGTCTGGTTGGGCTGGAAGAATCCGCTGAGTGTCTCCAACAGGACTGGAGACATGAGCTCCACCTCGTCCAGAATAAACAGTGGGATTTTCTCTTCGATTTCTGCTCTGGTTACCATGTTGGAAATCTTCTCCGACAGATCCGACCGGCAAGCAGGAGCAGCCTCCTTATTCGGGCAGTGGTGCATCACAAAGTACTGCAGCACAAAGTCATTGTCCATGACTGAGCGGAAGTGCTTAGCCAGCAGCCGTCCCATGTGGCTCTTTCCAACCCCCGTTGGGCCATTGAAGGAGATCACTAAGGGCTTGTTGTGTATGTGGGTGGCTAGATAGTCTTTCAACAACTCCATAATTCTTTCCACAGCCACCTTCTGCCCAAATACTTCCCGGTGCATGGTTTTCTCCAGCCCGTCCAGGTCGTACTTTTGAAGGTTGTCGTCCAGATTCTCAATAGCATTTAGTATTTGGAAGCAGATGATGCCAATGAGCAGGAGAAGACAGCGCTTTGCTTTACTCTTTTGCTCTGCTGGAAGGTACTTTTTGGAGCTGTCTGGATACAACACTACCCTGGACTTCCGGCGCTTCTTCTTCCGTTTGTATTTATTCAGCGCTGACTGGTCCACAGAGGTGTCAAAGGTGAAGTACTGAGAATTATCAAAGCTGGCTTGATTAAAGAGGGACAAGGAAATCTGCCTCTGAAGAAGCCTGCTTTGGACCAGCTCTGGAGATTGTTCTCTGGCAAGGTCCAGGTGCAAGCGGCTTTTCTTCAGGACTTTTCGTCGCAGGCGGATGACTGCCCGCATGGGAGAAGAAATCAGGTTGATCTTCCGGGAAGCCATGGGAGTCTCGCTGCGGGGCTGACTTCCATCCATCTTGCTTTCTTCTCACAAACCATTCAGAGTGTCTTCCCTAAAAAACACAAAGACAGCGTGAAAATGGATGGAAAAGCAAGAGGTGATGTGATCACGGTGCATAAATATCTTCAAGTGCAAAAAACACCAGGCTCTGTTCTCTAGCAACGAGAACCAACAGCAGGAAGTTAAAATAGGACAAATTCAAGTGCAAAAGAAGGCACAAATTGTATCTGCTAAATAAAACCACACATACACTAGAGAGAGAAAATGAAGGACATACACAAGCAAAAATACTCCACACCTTGAAAGGTGTACGTACGTACGTACACACACACACACACACACACACATGTACGTACACACACACACACACACGCACATGTACGTACACACAGACACACGCGCGCAAGCGCGCGCGCTTATAAACACTGGAGCTGTACGAGGTAGTTAGTTGATAGATAAGGTGCCAGTAGATGGTAGCCAGCAAAACCAATCCTGTTTAACTTATTCATAAATGATCTGGAGAAAGGGGTGAGCAGTGAGGTGGTAAAGTTTGCAGATGATACCAAACTATTTAGGATAGTCAAGACAGAAGCAGACTGTGAGGGACTCCAAGAAGATCTCACCAGACTGAGTGATTGGGCAACAAAATGGCGAATGAAATTTAATTTGGATAAGTGTAAAGTAATGCACATCGGGAAAAATAACCCCAACTATATGTACAGTATGATGGGGGCTAATTTGGCTACGACAAATCAGGAAAGAGATCTTGGAGTTATCGTGGCCAGTTCTCTGAAAACTTCCACACAGAGTGCAGCGGCGGTCAAAAAGGCAAATAGGATGCTAGGAATTATTAAGAAAGGGATAGAAAATAAGACCCAGAATATCTTACTGCCCCTGTATAAAACTATGGTACGCCCACATCTTGAATACTGTGTACAGATGTGGTCTCCTCACCTCAAAAAAGATATTTTGGCCTTGGAAAGGGTTCAGAAAAGGGCAACTAAAATGATTAGGGGTTTGGAACGGGTCCCATATGAGGAGAGGTTAAAGTGACTGGGACTTTTCAGTTTAGAAAAGAGGAGACTGAGGGGGGGATATGATAGAGGTCTATAAAATCATGAGTGGTGTGGAGAGGGCGGATAAAGAAAAGTTATTTATTAGTTCCCTAAATAGAAGAACTAGAGGACACCAAATGAAATTAATGGGTAGCAGGTTTAAAACTAATAAAAGAAAGTTCTTCTTCACACAGCATGTAGTCAACCTGTGGAACTCCTTGCCAGAGGAGGCTGTGAAGGCTAGGACTATAATAGAGTTTAAAGAGAAGCTAGATAATTTCATGGAGGTTAGGTCCATAAAAGGCTATTAGCCAGGGAATAAAATGGTGTCCCTGGCCTCTGTCTGTCAGAGGCTGGAGAGGGATGGCAGGAGACAAATCGCTTGATCATTGTCTTCGGTCCACTCTCTCTGGGGCACCTGGTGCTGGCCACTGTCGGTAGACAGGACACTGGGCTAGATGGACCTTTGGTCTGACTCCGTACGGCTGTTCTTATATTCTTATGTTCTTATGTCCGAGCAAAAAGCAACTAGGAAACTCCTCGCCTGACGGTGGGAGAGACAGAGCCAGCAACCTGCCACTGCTTTAGGAATGGACAGGAATGACAAATGAAGCCAGGGCATCATTCTCCAGCTAATAAGTAGCCATCTGGGGGTGGCTCAGACTGGCGTCACTTGTACAGTTCATGGCATTTCACCCAGTCGGATCCCAGGCTGTCGGGACAACTCCACTCGCCACAGACACGCAACCCACCTCTGGGGTGCGACTGCGGCAGGCGCGCGACA